TCTCATTTTTACTTTAAAAATAAGTTATTTTGTTTTTTAAAAATTAATTAAAACAATATAATTTTGATGTATTTTTCATTCTAATTGTTTAGAAATATAAATAATAAACACTTTACTTTTCATAATTTAAGATTTATATAAAAAAAAAAAAAAATCCACTCAAACAGAACTTCTATGAAGTTACGGACAGGCTCAGTCCACCCCATATTGATCCATCTAAAGAAAAATCAACTTCAAAATCAGGGAATCCTAAGAATTGAAACTCGTTCAATAAGTAGGGAAAAAACCACCACAAAACCTTATGATGTCTACAACCAACTGATACCCAACTACTTTTTCAGTGGCAAATGCATTCAGTTCATCTTAGATGATATCCAAATGCATTTCACCGAAATCATTGTGATAAAGAAAGATCTTGTTAAAATTAAAACAAGCAAAGATACCTACAAGAGAGCACTGGCCCAGCAACAAGCTACAAGACAGAAGTACACATCTTAGTTCTGAACTATTCTAAGCAGAAAAGCAGGGGAGAAAGAGAAAGGCCAGGGTAGAAAGAAAACAAGAAAAAAGAAAAATACACAGAGAAAATATGCCGGTATGTATATACGATAAAAGAAAGAATTCTCATATGAAAAGGGTTTAGAAAACAACCCAAGTACAGACAAGTCCTCAGTGCATTCAAAGAGATTTTATAAATATTAAATATAAATAGCAACATTTTGCAGATGCAGCCCGCATGTTTAAAGCCACCTGTCTTTCTCTCACACCAACAAACTATCTTTCACATGCAACAGTTAGGAAGGACTTGGAATTGAGGTGCAAAGACATGACCACACAACAAGAAAATGGCTTAATCATATTTATATATATATATATGTATATATAAATGTACATAATAAAAAGATTTGGGGAGATTTGTCCGCGTGACCGGATGATGTGACCCTGTTCTTTCAATTATCATTAACAGATCTTATTAGACTTTGTTTGTCAGTGTAGGGCTATGTTATACTATACTATAGCCGTAAGCTTTTTAATCTTTAATTATTTCAAATATATATAAAAAATTAATTAAAATTAATTAAGAGTTATAAATCTACATTTTTTTTCATAAGGTATTATATGAAAAAGGCTGTGAGAAAGCACCAACAAACGAAGCCCTAGTGATTTGGACAATGACAGCACAACCGGGTAACTTGGACAGTAGGGCTTCAGAACACGTTAACATTCAGGTTGGAGCAAGCTTCCTCCAGGACCACCTGTTGTAAGTTAACAAGGTAAATATTGCTAGAATAGGTGAATATAATAAAGAGCACCAGAGGAACATTTTTTCCCCATCTGCAAAAATGATTTTTGTCCCTTAGTTCTACAAGTTCTTTCTATCCTTTAATGTCTCCAGTTTGACACTATCACTAATTAGAGTTCCGTAACAAACATAAATACCAAATACAGTCAACTAAGAGTATGACTTACATATTGGTAAACAAGTTTGCAACCTTTAAGGAGTTGCAAAAGATTTTATTCCAGAGAAGTTTTATTTATTCAATGAGATTGGATCCCTTACATGGTATGATATATAGAAATACTAATCCAACAACAAATAAGCAGGGTTAAAGTGTAACACATACAATTTTCGAGTATGGTAACGAATGACTTAGGTCTTGTACCTTAAAGCTTGGAGGCATTTGCTGTTTTCTTACTCAAGGCAATTGCAGTCTTTGAGTTAGATTGCCGTCCCAAATGCTTGCAGATAAAATCTCCAGCCAACATCAGTTTTCCAAGATCCACATTGGTCTTTACTCCAAGACCATTTAGCAAGTAAACAACATCCTCAGTGGCAACATTTCCAGAAGCACCCTTAGCATATGGACAACCTCCAAGACCAGAAACTGATGAATCCACAGTGTTGATCCCCATCTGCAAAAAGATGCTATTATTCAGAACATTTTCAGACTATTGCACATTTGAAATTTGTAGTTAGCCAGTAGTATATATCCACTGAAGAATCTAAAATTTTATTGTTTGTTGTTTGATTTCATTTTTACTAACTCAGTAATTTCTATGAAATAGGTCTAAGTTTTGTTATTCAAGGAATCTTTAGGCCTTTAGCTTTTATTTTCTGGGAGTCCAAGTTGGTAAATTGATTAGTTTCCTCCAGTTTTGGAAATCCAAATCCCATCACTTTGGCTTAGGCCAATTGGTAAAGAATAGTCTAAGAATCTATACAAGTACCTACACACGCCCAATAAATTAGAAGAGGATTTTGACTGATAACAAAGAGCATATTTTGGTTAATTAATGAATGGTGCCCAGAAATTTTTTAAGTTTTCCATTCTCTGTTGCTACAACAAGATAGTGCCAGACTTCTGTCTGCACCATTTAAACTCAATGTGGAAAGAAGAGACTGGAAATTCAGTCCATGAAGCAACCAAAACACCATGAGACTATGAGAGATTAAAAATGAAAAAGATTACTTACTTGGAGAGATGCTAAAATATTTGAAAGGGCTTGCCCATAAGTGTCATGAAAATGCACAGCAAGCTTATCAATTGGAACAACATCAAGAGCAGCTTCAAGCATTGGAATGACAGTACCTGCAACAAGGGACACAAAAGAAGAGTACCAAATCTAAATTAAACCCAAAAAATAATACCACTTTCAAGATCAAGTCACACTGAAACACCATATAAAATTAACATCTATCAGAGAGACATCTTCGATAAAGAATCATGATACGCAGGTCGATATGGTAGACAAGTTATTTATAGGCAAAAAATGAGTCATGAACCCATCAATTTATGTTCTTCACACTCATTGAATTGTTTATTATTTATACAATGTAATTAGGCATCACATTTTTGCCCTCCCCAACCAAAATAATTGAACTGGTTTAACTCACGTTCTGAATGGCTTCTTCTGATTTCTTCACAACAATGCCCTGTTTCTTCTGCAATTCATTTGTTGGTATATGTATGTGTTTGTTCTGGTGAAATTGATAAATACAATAAAAGAAACTGCAGCCTTTGTTATCCAGCTTAATTTTCTACATCTTTGTGTTGGATGCCCTTGGAATTAGTTAAGAAGCTCCTTTATACAGAATAATGCCAAAATCACAAAAAATCAAATATTCCAAAGAGATTCCTAGCCTTGAAATTTTCTCAGCTAAAAGAGAACAAACTCTTAAGTATGTGTTTTTTTTCCTATGTATCATATCATATCTATATGTGTTCATGAAAGCCACTGCTGTTTACTCAAAACAACCATCAAGCCTTCCCCCTTCCACCTCATCATGATATAAAAAAAAAAAAGAGAAAGAGAGAGAGAGAGAGAAGACAAACAAGATAAATTATCTTATGGAAATAATATGGAATTACAGACGGACCAAAACTTTAAACATTACCAGGTGTACCAACACCAATTGTATCACCAAGGGAGATTTCATAGCAACCCATGTCAGAAAGTTGTTTAGCCACATATGCAACTTTTGATGGAGGCACCATTCCTTCCACAGGACAACCCACGACACATGATATATATCTAAGAAGTACAAGAATTACTTATTTGGTCATACTACTAAAAGACAAAATGGTACTTTTTTGTTAATGAAAAACTTCCAAATATATAATTAAAAATAGGTTTCTAAATCAAATAAATTTCTTTGACCAAAATCCTAAAGATCATATATTCAAAAATACTTCTAGCATCCAGTATCATCCCCAAGCATGCATATGAGACAGGAAAACTCTACTTGGAACATGGTTTTAAAATAAATAAACAAATAAATAAATTGACACGACATCTAAAGACACAATTCAATCAGGAGTAACAGACCAACTGGATGTCTCCATCAACAAGGAGATATGGATCTTCCCATTTGTGGTATTTTTAATTGGCAGCAGCCAAGCCACCTATTGTTGAGTGTTATCAAATTTGTAATAAAAGTTTTCAGTTATTATACTCAAAAATTAAAAGTATAAAAATATAAATATAGTACTAAATATCACCCAATGACACCACTGAAATTTTCCAATGCTGCCACTGTTTGTTAGCAAACATTTATACATTAATGACTCCTAATTATAGCAGTTTCATGGCATCATTAATCTAAAGTTACTGCCCTTGAAAGTTGTATTGCTCCATCAAAATTTCTTCGATTGGTGTAGACTCAGATTCATTTCAAGCTTTCAACTAAATTTAAAAAATAAAAGGCTTATCATGATTAATCATTCATCTTCATGTTACCTTCTCCTGATAAGTTGATCAAAATTCAAAAAGCAGACAGACGACATTCCTGCATTTTACTTGCAACATCAAATTTCATTTTTGTTGACATTAGCTATCTGTTTTGATCAAATTTAACACATGGTACATATCAAGTTTAGACTCAGAAGACCACAATGTATTTCATGTCGGCACAAGAGAGAATGCAAAGAAAACCAAAGAGATCTTTAGAGGATTTCAGTTTAGAAGACTAAACAAATTGAGAATTCAACATGAATATATAAAAGTAATTTCAAAAGTATTTAGAAGACCTACCCACGGACAGGAATTGATAGCTCTCTTGCAGCAGAAACAACATCACGATAACGAGTAAGACTATCTTCAATGCTACAATTGATGTTTGACTTTGAAAAAGACTCAGAAGCTGAGGCAAAAATGGCTACTTCCGTAGCTCCAGCTGCAATAGCAGCTTCAAAACCCTGAAATAAACCATTATAAAGCATCAGGAGCACATCAAGCAGTGGATCAGTTCATGTTTCTCCCCTAGAGACAACTTACTTTAAGGTTGGGAGTCAACACTGGAAATCTAGCACCTTCAACATTTTGAATTGCTTCCATTACATCCTTTGCATCTGCTAGCTGTAACATAATCATAAATCAGATCAAACTTTTCTTTCCAGCATATAGTCTCCTTTAACGAGGGAAAAAACAATAATAGATCCAAAACTCCATTCAATTAAGGGTGCGTTAAATACAATCAAGGAGTTAAAATTTGAGAAAAGTTAAAGTTATGATGAAACAACATGGCAGGCCAACTTGCAATAGGGAACCAAGAGAATTACAAGGAATTCTTCTAGGTTTTAGACCCATATTGGAAATAACGCTTGCAAAAAATTAACAATGTCTACTCCCTTACTTACTTGTGGAACCCATTTTGGTGAGACAAAACTTGTAGCCTCAACAACAGGCAATCCTGAAGAAACAAGCATTTTTATCAACTTGACCTTTACTGTAGTTGGTACAATCTCCTTTTCATTTTGTAATCCATCCCTAGGACCAACCTCTACTATCTTCACATGTGAAGGAATGTTTCTATAAGCCTGCAGTATTGTGTACAAAGGCTAGCTCCATAAGTAATAGGGAAAAAGAAATACGTAACATGCATACACACACACATACATACAAGCATATATAAACAAATCAAACAAACATAAAAGTGGAAAGATGAAGACCTAAAATTATCAAATGGCACATACTCTCATAATTTCAACAGGCCATAGTATCTTATAGCCATGATCAAATATAGACAAGGGTCTTATGTTAGAGAAGTAGTTGATCATCTCTTCACAATTCACATCCATCCCCTCCCAGAAAAATTTCCTAATCCTGCTAACTAACATATAAAAAATTAAAATTCTAAATGTTGAAAAAAAAAGAAAGAGAGAAAATGAACATTAAGTTCTAATTTACCTTATTTATTAATTCTCTTGTGGATTTATCAGAGCAATGGGTGCTGTAATTATATCTGGAAAAGTACAAGGCGTCATGAAAACTACTAGATATCCCACTCAAGCTGGCAAGTTTATGATTTAAACAATCTCCCCTGGATATGTTCCTTGTTTCTCTCCCAAGGAGTGACTCTCTAGTAGACTCATCACTGCAGGAAAAACTAAAAATAAAAATTAATCACCAACTTATTTCAACTAACCCAAAAACAAACCAATGAAATTATCATTTATTACTTTGGGGAAGATATCTCAAACTCAATCTGCTTGATGAAGCATTCCCAGCGGGGATGCAATGAAACTAGTGGTGCTACTTACGGTTCATAATGAAGCACAGAGTACACTAAGCTTTTAAAACAGGCATAGTTGAGTCCCTTCTAAACGCCAAAGAGTTAGTTCAACAAAGACCACCCTTTATGAAGAGTGCCACTGAATTCCCATAGCATCACCTCACTAAGCCTACATAGTCTTCCCCTTTTTTGATATTTCATGTTAAATTTAAAGGTGCTCAGCATCGTTAAGGCTGACTAATAGATGTGGAGATTAAAGAACCTTGCAAAGACCTAAAATCACGCCTTTTGCTACTGAATCAAACTAACTGATAAGCCTGAATCACGCTTTCTTGCTAATAGAAAATTTTCTCAACAGACTGTTTTCTTCTTCTTGTGCTGATGGAATTATTCATTGTTTTTCATTGATTCCGTTAAGAAATTTAAGCAAATTTTCGGCGACCATCTTCTAGAGTGCAAGAACGAAAATTTCTCTGGAAATTTGGAAAACTATGTAGAGCTTACTTGAAGCCTGCTGTTGAAGAAAAACTGATGCCTCCGAATTGGGAGGCCATTGACGATGAAAGAAGGCCGCCGCGTGATATCTTATCGAAAGCCCTCGCCGCTCCGATTGGATTTCTCATTATTTTCAGCTCCGACCAGTGTGCGACCGTTTTTGCGCCGGCGAGGTTGTGGGTATTGATTGGATATTTGCTTACTGGAACTGCCACGGCAGCATATGTCATCGGCATTGACAAAGAAATATATATATTTTTAACTCTTATTTTATGGTATTATTTTAGGGTGCAGTATTTTATTATCTAAAATAATGCAGTCGGTAAAATGTTTTTTTGATTTTTTATTATAAAAAATAAAAAATAAATATATTTATCTTTTAAAAATTATTTAAATATCTTTAATAAATTTTATAAATTTTTTATTTTTTATAAGATCTTATTATTTTATTTATCTTTTAAAAATTATTT